GGAGGAGGAGGAGTAGGAGGAGGAGGCCGACCCCACAGGCGCCCCCCGCCGCCGCGGCGGCCCCAGAGGGCCCCGAGGGCTGCGGCGGCGCCCCGCCGAGGAAGCGCGCCCGGGGTGGCGACGCCCAGGGTGGCGCGGCGAGCTCCGAGCACGCCAGCGCGCCGGGCGAGGCCTGCCTGGAGGCCGCCGCGGAAGGCGGCGGGGCGGTGGCTTCCAGGGCCGCGCAGCACCGGGGGACGTGAGCTGTTCGGCTGTACGCAGGAGCAGCCTTTCGCCGGAGTGACCCCTGGTGCGGGCACACTGGGGTCCCATCCGCATGGCGGCCTCTCGGGCCATTTCGGCACACCCCTCACGCGCTTCGCGGCCCCATATTGGGCGCTCCACCGAAGGCCCCCAGCGGCAGGGTCCGCATTGTGGCCTCGGGCCAATTCGGCGGCCAATTCGGCACACCCGTCACACGCTTTACGGCCCCATGGGGAGCTCCACCGAAGGGGCCAGCGGGAAGGTCCGCATGGCGGCTGAACGCGATGCGATAGCAGCGGCTTGCGCCCTCGGGCTTGGCTCCCCGCCGACCCCGCAAAGCCGCGAACCAAAAATGTCACTCTTGCCCAGGGCCCCTCCTGTGTGAATCCGATGTGCACCTTCACCGATCGTGGTCAGGATCGGCGTGTGCGTTTCGTTTGGGCGCCCGAAGCGGGAATGGCAAACATGGGTGCGATGCCCAACAGCGGTCGCTCTCCAAAGCCAGCAGCAGCCGCTGTTGGGCAGGCGACTTTGGCTCTCGAGTGGACTGCCTCCGCGGCGACGCCGACACAGTGAGTCCTGCTCGAAGCGGACAGGATCTGCGGTCGGTCTTCGCGCCCACTCTTGCTGTACTCTTTTCGAGCGTACCGATCCCTGGCCAAGCCAGGAGTCGGCGGCGCGCAGAGGGCGGTAGGGGGAGGGGGGCAGGCATCTTAGAAGCACCCATGCTTCTTCGAGGGCGCGGGCCCTGTCTCCAGACGAAGGGCCAGCGCCTTCTAAGAAGCAGCCTCCTTCCGAGAAGCCGCCCCCCCTCCCCCTAACCTTAAGTCGGGCCTGTCCCTCTACAGGAGGAATATTCAAAAATAGTAAAAAATAGTCAGGGGACTTTTTTTGCACATTTTTTGACAATTTAGGGGTATTTTTTGAGCATTTTTTATTTCTCGTCGAAAATCCCACCTGTAGGGGGACACGCCCGACCTGACCCTAACCCCCCGTCCGCGCGCCGCCACGGGAGGGCGCACGCACCGATCCTGGGCCCAGGAGTGGGCCCGGCCAGGACCGGTGCCGTGCGCACGGCCGCCGCCCCCCGCAGCAGACCGCCATCGTGCCCGCCGCCGCCGAGGGCCGGCAGCTGCGGCGCCGGAGGCCGAGGGACAGCGCGGTGGCCAGGGCCTCCCAATCGACTAGACGTAAGAGTGACCTTTCGCCGGAGTGACCTCTGGTGCGGGCACAGCGCCGCCACGGGAGGGCGCACGCACCGATCCTGGGCCCAGGAGTGGGCCCGGCCAGGACCGGTGCCGTGCGCACGGCCGCCGCCCCCCGCAGCAGACCGCCATCGTGCCCGCCGCCGCCGAGGGCCGGCAGCTGCGGCGCCGGAGGCCGAGGGACAGCGCGGTGGCCAGGGCCTCCCAATCGACTAGACGTAAGAGTGACCTTTCGCCGGAGTGACCTCTGGTGCGGGCACAGATGGGCACCCAGGTGGCCGAAAACGAAGCGGTAGCAGCGGCCAGCGCGCCTGGATTTGGCCTCCCCGCGGCCCCCTAAAAGCTGCGCACCAAAGGTCACTCTTGCCCAGGGTCACTCTTGCCCAGGGACAGCGCGGTGGCCAGGGTCTTCCCAAGTTTAAGTCGGGCCTGTCCCTCTACAGGGGGAATATTCAAAAATATAAAAAAAATGCTCTGGGGACGACTGTTTGAATATGTTTTGACTATTTTGGGGGTGTTTTAGGGGTATTCTTAGTTTTTCGTCCAAAATCCCCCTGTAGGGGGATATGCCCGACTTAATCCTAAGTTCACCGAGCGCGATCCGCTACTTTCAGAGTGCCTCCTCGCATACGTTCGAACGGCACAGGTTTGCCTCGATGCAGTGGATCGTAAGTCCCCCGCGGCGGATCCAGGCCATTTGCGAGCAGTTTCTGTTGCCAGTCGTGGGACGCGCTTGTCTACAAGTGGGGCTTGGGGTTCGAGGCTCGATGTTCACGTTCCAGGACGAGGATCGGGGATCGAGGAGGATCGAGACTCGAGGCTCGAGGTCCACAGCCCAGGAGGATTGAGGAGCGAGGCTTGAGGATCGAGAGGTTCACGTCCCAGGAGGAGGTGTCGAGGTTCGAGGTGCGAGGATCGAGGTTCACGAGGTTTCTGGTGCCTGTTCCTTGCTTTTGGGCGGGCCCTCGTGTGGGCGCCCATGTGAGGTCTGGGGCAGTGGGGGTGGGAGGACCGCGCCGCCGTCGCCGATGCGTCGTTCTTCTCCACCCCGC